GTATTTTAAATATGTATCTGAAATACCGCCCATCCCTTATTGCACATAGTAGCTCACAGTATTACACACAATGTGCTTTTCTGGACATATTAGCAAATGTATCACAAGCACATCATCGCTCTCTAGTGTCCAAAGCGGAAAATCGCCTCTCCAAAAATAGCGTTATACTTTTACCCAATAGAGTGCGCTATTAATAGATGCTGCTGTTCTCATAGAGGAAGAGCTAGAACCAATAATAATAAAAACAACACACAGGCCCAAAAATAAGACACACAACTGATCTTTCCCATCTGGAATATGAAAAGAAAGTTTTGAAAATAAACATGAGATGATTTTAACGTTGAATCAAAACAGTGCAATCACTCAATGGACAATTTTTTTTAATATTTAATGTAAATATAAGATCTGTTCTGCAGTGCAATTTAAATCAGTCCAGTTTGCAAAACGTTAGCAATTGAAATACACCATTTTGCGTTAGGCAAGGAGCTACTTGCTCTCAAGAAAAGGTCAAAGGTTGAACCCCTAAAATGTTAAAGGTGAGCATGCGTCAGAGAGCGATTTGGAAAGTAAAGGTCACATTCCATGTGTGTGTTAGTGAGTAATATCAATGTGCAGAGACACACTGGACTCAATGTTAGCTTCGATCTAAGTCATTTCTGAAACCACTAATGATTTCACAAACAAACTTGCAGACCCAAAGAGTGAACAAAATCTGTTTTTATGGCACATGGAAAAAGAAACTTTGTTTTCCAGAAAATGAATGTTTTCGAGGGCTCAACTTTAAGGCACTTTTTAATTGGCTGCAAAATTACAGAATAGGAAATTGCGAGAGTGTAGGACTTTAAAACAGGCCAATTTACAATGCATTTTATCCAAAAATCTAATTTTATATACTGTTAATCTACAACATTTAGACAAATCTTTCATAATGTGTTAATGAAAAAACAACTGAAACAGCCGTTATGTCCATGATGACGTTTACATGTGTTCTGGATGGTTCTGTAGGCAGGTGATGAACTCTTTGACTGGGTGACCCTGGAAACAGATCTGATAAACTGCATTAAACAGGGGGAACCTGCAGAGAAACAGAGAAAGTTGACATAAGAAAAATAGGAAAAAATATGTTTTCCATATTGTGAACAGTGCTGGGTAGATTACTTACAAATTGTAGTCCATTACATGACAAAAAAATTGTAGTTAGTAACATTACACATTTTAGGTAATATAATCAGACTACCTTTTGATTACAGTTAGATTACTTTTGACCTAACCCATTTATCACATTGATTTAAATAAAATAATCTTACTACCCAGCACTGATTGTGAAGAGCACAAAGATAGTTACTTTTCCACCAGGTTTTTGTGTTTGAGGATCTGATGAACTTCCGCTGCGGTTGCTGGACCTTGAAGTTTCTGGCCGTTCAGCAGTTCCTTCTCAAGCTCCTCAATAGACTGACAACGAACATAAATATTTAGAGATGAACATGAACACTGAAAAATAATGTAACTTTTAATCCTGAGGACCAAACATACTTTCCCCGTTCTAGCGAACGCTTCTCCGATTTTGCGGTTGCGTCCTCCGTAGCAGGTGGTGATGAGGTCGGCGACGCCGCAGCTCTCCAGAAACGTGGCGGGAGAGACCGGACTGGCCGTGCAGAATATCCGAGCAAAGGCGATCATCTCCATCAAACCCAAACGGATCACGGCGGCCTTGGTGTTGTCACCGAACTCCAGACCGTCACAGAAACCAGCGCCCACTGCGACAATGTTCTACAATAAAATCCATGACTTCTTGACTTTTATTCAGTTAAATGCTTCAAAAACTGAATGAAAATGAATGGATGGATGTTTACCTTTAACGCCCCACAGATCTCCACAACGTCAGCCTCCTCCACCACCGTCACACGGAAGTTTTGTGTTTGCATCATTTCCTTCAGCAGGGGTCCGTGAGCTTTGCTTTTACACCCTAAACACAAGATTATTATAATTTGAAGAAATATAGTGGCTGTATATAGTTACAGTGGCATACATGGGCACATTTTCCTTCTGTCATTACCAAAACGTAATATTTCCATTTTCGTGTACTTACCAATCGTAGTTTCACAGAATTTCTCATCAGCAACCTCATTGGCCAGATTGGCTCCCATCAGCACGGTCATGGTGATGCCAAGTTTTTCCCTAATGACATCAGAGATCAGTTTCAGTCCGTCAGGACCCTCATCCACACCCTTACGAAACAAACAAAGTGGTATAACAGTGCTGCAGGTCCAGATACAAACTGAAACATAACTACATAAAATAAAACAAATGCATATGAGGAAACCTTAATGAGGGACATTCCCACAGCGTCCGTCTTGATGTGACCCTTGATGGTGTCACAGATTCGGGACACAAATTGGTGAGGGATGACGAAAATGAGAATATCTGCACCCTTTACCGCGTCCAACAGATCTGGAACCGCCACCTAAAGAAAAACAGCCATTTATCACTGGATTTATTACACTTTTGTTATATCAAACACCACTTTCACACTCTTTTCTACGAGTTTCAAGATTGGTAAGCAAAGATGTGCTTCTTTACATCATAACTTAACTGCTTAATTTCTAAATTTCCACTGCAGCACTAAATTTACCGTTGTTAACAAGTAATTGGCAATAATGGTTAAAGAGTTCAAGGATTCTAGATGCTTTGTGTTCTCACCACATTGGGCGGCAGCTTGTGTCCAGGCAAGTATTTTACATTCTCGTGTTCGGTGTTGATGATTTCGGTGAGCTTGCGTCCGTTGACCATCTCCTCAAACACCCACATGTTCACTGTGTTTTCAAACGTGTTGTATTTTGCTGCATTGGCGCCCACTATCTTGGCAATGGCAGAGCCCCTGAGGAAATGAGAGAACTTTGACATTACAGACAAACTGTAATGGATAAACAGCAGCCAATGCTGCTGCTGGATTAAGTAATGACAGCTGCACATCTACTGAGGGCTTAATTAGCAGAAGAACTAGAAGAGAACTTCATTACTGTGACACATTCTCTAAACTACAAGTTGGCTCCTGACTTTGTTGCAACTGGGAACAGGTGCTGAAGTGGTAAACATTGTCGCATTTACCACTGGTTTTTGGTAAGTACTATACTATATAGTGTTATTTGAAGATATTCAAACATTATACAACTCTTAAAATTGTGTCTGCAATCATAAACAAACACTTCTAAATATAAACAATAATCCTATAACACTGGAAGCATAAAACATCCAATTAAGACACTAATTATGGCTGATAATAATAATCCAGTTCATTACAGCTTTGCTTCAACCGCATTTATTCAACTTCCTAAAATAGAAATAACTTCCGTTTGTACCTTAAAACAGGCTGTTTCCAAATGTACTTCAGTCAGTAGCTTTGCATTATTACTGTAAAACATTAACCAGCAAAAACAGTGTAAAACAATCACTTACAGCTTTGCTTCAGTATCTGCAACACCATAAAACAGCCTGAAGTTTATGGGTCAGAAAGAAAATACTGCAGCCTATTCTTTTGGTTTAATAAGGATCACTGGACACCTGGGTCAATCATTACTCAGCAAATATTACCTCAGCAAGCCAAGCAATGCACATTTGGACATGCACGCAATGTAAATGTCACGCACCAGTTGCCAGAGCCGATAATGCAGACTTTCTTGGCCGCCATACTGCGCGTCTGTCCCGGCTGGAGGACTTCTGTGTTTGAGAGCCGTTGACGGACCGGAGAGAATCCTGTGGGCGCTCTTTTAAATAGCCCTTGAACGCTCCTCACTCCCCTTGACGCGTATTGGCTAATTTCTCCTCATACATGAGCGCAATTCAAGACAGGACTGACTACTGACCAATGATCCGATGATTTATTATTATTAGAAACTATCACTCGTACTGTATTTAGGTTGCGAATTACGTGGGATTTAACTGTTAAGACTCGAAACCACAAGGTGGACATTTCTGTAGGCTATTACACAGAAAACTAGTCAGTAGCATTTTTAAACATTTCTGCAATCACAAAGCACGGTTAAATACGCGACCTCGCATTTTCACAAAGACTCCCGTGGTAACGGTTCGTCGAAATGTAAGTATGCATGTTATCAATAATAATAATTGTTTATTTGAACAAACAAAACAGAACTTCTTTCACTTAAAAAGTACACAAAACATGTTTGTGCTAATTAATCTCTCAGAAAGTTCAGTTGGCATTTAGGCGCCAAAACTGTGCCTCAGTTTATTACAGTTAACAATTGGCTAATCCAAAAAACGTGACCCTGATAGCATACGTACATCACGGAGACGTCTATTTGCCGTCTGCATTTACATCTGCAAGACGTATTTTTTAGTGTTTGCTCATCTGCAGTACACTATAGGACGTTTCAGATGCCAAATAGACGTTTAGAAGATGTCTTTACGATGTTTATGATTTAGAATGTACGTAAAACTGACCTCTGAAAGATGTCTATCAGATGTTTGTACACAGCAGATGCTTTCCAGATGAAGCGATCTTGTGCTGAGTATGCTTGCAGTTCTAATTCCACACCTCGAGAGAGAGAGACAGGGTCACATCACAGTGGAGTCAGCTGTCTTAACCGCGGCTTGTGTAATGCAAACACATACCAGCTTCATCACGGTGTTTGTCACGTGACTCTGTTCCCCTTTCGGGCTTGAACTGATGGTAAAACTAATGACATTATTTACTGTCTTTACATTTATTTTGAAAGATGAAGCTGGCGATTATGGTAAGGGGCGTTACATTTCCGACGAGTGCTTGCGGAGTTCGGCCAATCAGAATGCAAACGGCAAACGTCAATCAGAGCAGACTGCGCTCGTCGGAAGGAGGGACTTTGTAGAAAAGAAATGTGTTTTTTGAACATGAAAGCATGTCAACATATTCTGTTACACCAAATACACAAAATAATAATCTTTAAAAAGGCATCATATGACCCCTTTAAGAGCACTGATTTCACTTTACACCGGGCTGAGCATTGATACAAGATTATCTTTATTACAACACAAGGGCTAATAGAGAAATACAACATTTGGTCCATTAAAGAAAATAAAGAAATACAAGACTTTAAGATATAAAAATCAAAACAAATACATGACTTTAGGAAAACAACTAAATGTAGTTAAAACTTAAACTACCCAGAATGTTAAAGTCTTTAGCACTTAACTTCTAAATGCTTTGAATTACTCGAGTGGAAGAACCCACTGCCTCTCTGCAGCATTAAAACACTTGACCGTTTTCCTAGACGTTTTGTGGGTAGCCATGACCAGTTAGTAGTACTTGCACTGGCAGGTTTTCATATTGTTCACATATAGAGTGACAAGTTGACTTTAATAAGAATTAATCAAATGAACCAATAAACCATGAATACATTTCTCTAAATATATCAATACATATCACAGCGAGGTTAGAGTGGAAGTACTTTAAAGTCCAGGACAAAGCTTGTGACCAAAAGATCTATCATCAAACAGGTCGATCAGCAGTACATCTAATCTTGTGGACCTAAACGACTATTAAACAGATGAGCTATGAAAAAATCTTATATATCGAGCATTGCAGAAAATGCTAACAAGTGAGCTCACCTTTAATGTCAACAGACTTGTTCAAGGAACTTGCTCCAAATAATTCATCTTCACAGAGCTGAGGTACTACACTATGTCATTATCAGTCATCTATGTTTAACTAGACTAGATCTTCATAAAGTTCATATTATGAGAACATTAAAATATCAAGGACAATATCGATAACTTAAACAATGACCCCTCCAAAAAGTAACTCTTGCTGATTGGTTAATATGGAAAGTGGCGAATGGGCTCAAACATTAGCATGTCTAAGAGCATTCTTGCGTTTGGAATTTAGTTACATAATTAACAAAATTATCCAACAAAGCCTGTCAGTTTGGTCAGAAATCTACATTTTCCGAAGTGACAGCATCGCAAAATCACCTTGACAAAGATTCAGTCACGTGGGAACCTTGAAATATGTAAAAATAAGCAGACAACAGTTTGGCAGAGTCACAACAAAAATAAGGTAATTTCTGTATAAGGGGTATTCCTGGGCAGCTACAGCAGGACAGCACAAGATAAACTGTAATGATCAGCGTCTGCAGCACAGAGCAGCAGGACATTTGCTACCCAGAACCCCCTCTGGTCCTGTGTCGTAACGGCCGCGAGCTTGCTTATGTGTTTCGAATGCCAAGAGCCTGTTCCAGCTCCTGTCTCCTTTGCTGAACCTGAGAGAACAAAATTGAGAGAAACGTCAATAAAAAGGAGACTGATTTTCCATGCAACCTTTCAGATTTCAAATTTCACAGTGGCTAAATAAGTGTAAAAGCATCACCTTTGAATAGAAATATCGGCACACAGCCTCCTGAGCCCAGGGTTGGTGGTAGAACTCAGCTCTCCTTTCCTCCTCTGGGTTTCCAACCACATCTGTCATCGTCTGCAAGGACACCGAATTCAGACGTCAGCAGAACAAGATCTAACGGTTACTGATTAATGGCTTTTGTCTGGAGCAACACACGTTCGGAAACTCGTCACAACCTTCAATCCCAAGGAAATACATGCAACTGCTTTGCAACAGATATTTTTAGACTGATAAATTATGATTGAGCAAACAGTCGCAGGCTTTATTTTCCCTAGCTGTTTAGAAATTCAGCATCACATACAAATGCCTGTGAAATACTTTCCCAACCCCCACAATCATTACAAGTCCAGTCAGTCCACTAACTAACACTCAGCTGAGCAAATATACAGATGGAGAAAGACTACAGCTCCGGGCGAAGGTTAAACAACCTCTTCCGGCTAGCGAACTCAGAACTTAGCAGAAGCACTTATGAACCCTGCAGGTTTTAGAAGATAAAATGGAACTTCCAACTTCATGTGTCCATAAAAACACGATATTATCATGGAACCAGGGCAAAAAGTGTTGTAATATGAAGCAGTGTTGTCAAAAGACCCGGTACTTCGGTACCAAACACCAAACTAACAAAACACTTTAAAGACACCCGGATCAAATGAAAGAGTTCAAGCAGGTAAGTTTCATTTAAAATTTTCAGTGTTTCCCATACATTGATTTATTTGCTGCCCGCCACGATATCAAAACTCACCGCCACAAATAGATTTTCCAAAAGGCTTTGACTTCGTTGAATAAACTGACACGTGCAGTACTCATAAGTCGAAATAGTTTTTATATCACTGTATTTCTGAAGGAAACGGACTGTCTTCAGAAAATGATGGATGTCATTCTCATTTCATCTCGCCTGTTATGCCTGATAAAGCAGCGGTTGAGAGCAGCGCTTATTTGATTACATTATGGCTAACGCTAATATAATGAGCATTAGAATTACGTTTATTTATTAACTTTTTAATGCTCCTATAACTTTTATTAGGCTAAAAAAAAACAGGATGACATGGTGATATTTACTATTTTTACACACCAGAGGCTTTTAAATGAATTGTGAATCTAAAATATGCGTGTTAGAGAATGTACAAATGGTTAACATTGTGTCATATCAGTCAGAAAAGCAGTTCTGGGCTTTTTGTAATTTTTTTTTTTTAGCTAACTTAGTTGTTATTCTTGGCTGAATAACTCTAGAAGGATTTAAAAACCCTTTAAAATTAAATATTTACACAGTTTGGATTAAATGAAAGTATAGTCAAATGTTTTAATTAGCATGTTTTTGTGTTTTGGTTTGGTACCGAAATTGGTACCAAGAACCGTGGATTTTTACTGGTATTGGTACAGAATACTGACATTTTGGTACCGTGACAACACTAATATGAAGTGATTTAGATGCCACTCTCCTTGAAGCATTTGGTCTCACCTTCAAGTCTCTGCACTGAGACTGGAGCCAGTCGTTGATGAAGCCCTGCGGGTCTCTTGCGAAGCTCAACATGAACTCCCTTTGAGTCTTCAGATGGTTAATGGTTTCGATGGTCTCATGGATCTGAAGGATCAAGCAAGCATACATGCGGGATCATGATTACCATTATACAACATTTTAATAACACAACAGTTCGTTCTGGTTCACTAGGTTGGATGTGTACTCAATATAAAGTTCTTTATCGAACTTTGTATAAGAGCAATCACAATCAATCTTGGTTAACATCGTGCAGGTTTTACTGTAGTCTGATATTTCATAAACACAAAATGGCACTATATACAAAGGTCAACCACTTGACTGTGAAGGACAGATTTTGACTGTTGCAAACTGGGTCAAAGGGGAATGGTCTTAAGTGCGTTAAAGTTCACAGCACGTTTTAGTCAAATATAAGAAGAAATTAAAAAGTTTATAAACACTAGCGATTGTCCAATATTTCCAATGCCAATATTTTAAAGAGCCTGGATGTTACTATGCAGATATAATATAACATAACATGCAATGTCAGCAAATGAATCACAAATCCACTTTTGGTTGAATGTGGTGCCACATAAACTTTTATAGAGGAATCCAAAGGAACTGAACTTTAACCCACAGCTGATTTGTCTTAGCAATTCCATCAATTCACAATCACTCGAGCTGAAAACCATGATTACATCAAGCACGGAGTAACTGTGGCAACAATGTAACCCTGGTGAGTCCGGCTGCTATCCCTGAAGTGGTTACTAGACTACTCAAGATTTTCAGCAAACAGAGAGGAATAAAATTAAACATGTCCAGAGCTGACAGAAAGCAGGATGCTTTTTCCTGGACCACTCCCTGGCTTCTTTCCGCAACAAAAACTTTCGAAAACATTCAGATCGGCGTGTTGCCAAGAGTCACTTTGATATGCAGCAGAAAAGCCCAGGATATACAACAAAACAACAGTGCAAAGGCAACGATGGCGCTCCCCCTGCAGTGATGTGCTGAGCACTTTGAGGACTGTTTATTCAGCCAGAACAAAGGTTTTGGAGGCTTTCGGCCACATGCAAAACTTTTGTACCTTGTTGTCAAGGCCTGCGATCTCTTGCTGACTGGCCGTGGACAGCAGGAAAGAGTTCATCTGGGTCTTCAGGGTGTCGTCCACCTCCACGTCTATATCGTAGCATGCTGTCTTCTTCTGGTCGTTGGGATCCACGCTGAAATACAAAAGGATGTTTAGATGTTGCATCACAGACAAGGCAGAAACAGCAATTCTGATTGACATCATGTGGTTGACGGTTACCTTATGACATGGTTGATGATGATTGGCTCGGGAGGCATCAGTAGTGCATGCAGCCGTTGAGGAATCTCAGAAAACTTCATCCTCTGGCTTTCAAAGATCTAGAACAATGAGAACCAACAATTATTGGATCAGAAAGATCTTGAATGAGAACAGACAATTACTGGGTTTCAAAGATCTTGAACGAGGAGAACTGACAATTATAGGGTTTTAAAGATCTTGAATCAGAACTGATAATTATTGTGTTTCAAATATCTAGAGCAAAAAGAACTGGGGTAATTGGGTAATCTTATCTTTAAAAAAAATATTAATAAGTACAGTCAGTTTTTGTGATTCAAACATCTCAAATGGGGAGAACCTACAATTATCAGGTTTCAAAGATCTAGAATGAGGAGAACTGCCAACTATTGGGCTTCCAAGGTCTTGACCAAGGAGAACTGACAATTATTGTGTTTCAAAGATCTTGAACGAGGAGAACCATCAATTATTGGGTTTTAATAGATTTAGAACAAGAAATAATAGATCTAGAACAAGTAAAAACAGCTATTTATTTTATTTATGCAAATTATAAGAGAAATAAACAAATCATGGGCCTCATTCATGAAACACGAGCAGAATAAATGTTTGTGTAAATCGTTCGTAAAGCTGTTCTGACGTAAATTTTCGGATTCATGAAAGTGTTCGTATTTTCAAAATGTTAGTTGGTACCAAAGAAATTTACACCTGCTCCCTGCCATGTGTAAATGGTGCGTAAAACGTTCTGTGTTCTTTTTGGCAAACTGATGACACCGAATTTTGATGGACTGCCATGTTTGCTTGCTCTTTTTTTTTTTTGTAGCCGAGAGTTGATAAACTGTTTAGCTACAGGTAAAACACAGCGCTTGTCACGGTCACTTTTTACCCAGCCGTCCAATCAGTGGACAAGAGGCGGGACAAATACTACACCGACCAATCATCCTACTTGAACAACAATAGAGAAGTTAACATTGCTGGTTACTGCATTTTTATATTTAGTAATATTCTTCAAAATGTACTGCCGTGGATATTCCACATCATAGCAACCAAATCGACAGCTGGAAAAACGCTGTGCCACCAAAGCATTCTCAAGCGCCACCAGCTGGTCGTTTTAAGAAGAGCGCCTGACATTTTTCAGCAGGCTAAAAACGCTTTGGCGTTAGTGAATATTTATTGTTAGGCATATGGCCTATTAGTCTTTTTTGCATTTATGCAATATACTGGAGCCAAACCTGAGAAAGTAGACTGCGATTCCACTGCGTTCCTGGACACGCAATTTGCATAGCTGTAATTATAGGCGGGGATTATGGTAATTGTGAATGAGCGTGCACTAGCGTCCTATTTACCAATGATTGGAATTCATTAACATACACGTTTAACTATTAAATCGGACGTTTACGAAGCATTTGTGAATCCGGAGGAGAGTTTTCGGGAAGATCCGTTTTACGCGCAAATTACTCAGAATTTACTCCTATATTTACGAATGTTTCATGAATGAGGCCCCATGTGTTTTGGGTTATAAATCAGATCTGAAGCCATTAGCATTGCAGCCACTATCCTGGTTAAAAGATGCATTAAACCAACTTTCAAGCCTCTGACAGCACATATATGGACTACGCAAAGTCCATCTGACCCATACCGAACACAAAAAAGGCAAGAGAATCGAAAAAAAGCAATATTGTGAACATCTAGCTTATATGCTACTTCCTGCAGTCAAGTCTAAGCAGGTATTTCCAGTCTAAAAGCATCAAAAGACAAACTCTAATATTTGTTACCTGCTGGAGGTATTTATCACAGTTGATGAACTCTCGTTCATGAGGGTCCTGGAGTTTGTGGGTCTTCACGTACTGCCATAGAGCCTGAATAATCACGGGTCGGGTCTGAGTGTGGATCCCCAGCAACCGGGCAAGTCTGGGGTCCAACTTAAACTGAGGAGGCTAGAAAAAGAACAATTTGGCTCAGTCACAATTCCTCAAATTTACTAACAGTGTGGAGCGCCACCTGCTGGTAGTTTCTGAAACATGTGTTTGTGTTCACCTGGTAGTCCAACATAAGCAGTACAGTACAACGGACACCAACATCTCCCGGCCTCTTCACTTGAAATCCATCTGTCTCCTGAGTTGTGGCGGTTCGGTGCCACTGAAATCAAGACAAACACACCTGAATGACTGAAAACTGGCGCAAAAGTGACAACAACAGAGATCTAGTGGACAGTACCACAGCTGAGAAATGCACTGTTCTGCATCTCACCTCCACCAAATGATTGTCAGGTCCATACAAGTCTTTGTCCAACTCAATCACTAAAGACTTGAAAAAAGAAGAAAACTTCCTCTTCTGCTTGGTGGCTTCATACTTGGACACAGCAGTCTGATACAGAGAAACACATTCAGAGTTTACAGAAATAATCTCGTACTTCTACATAGACAATAAAGAGTTTGACTTGAAACACTGCGAGATGACAGAATCTTGCTTACGTCTTCAAGAAGTCGTCCCTCCACACGCAGCTCCCAAGATGCAACGGTTCCTTCGCCGTCCTCTGCATCTGGTTTGGCAGGGTTGAAAGTGTTGGAGATAAATATCCGTAGTTTTCTTTTTTGCTGCATAGAACAAACAGATATAGAGTGATGTCTTTCGATCAAATGTAGTTCCAGATTCAAGCTCAACAAACAATGTTGTTCCTCTAAAGGAGTCCGAAGACAGCCAGGACACTGTTGGTAAAGGATCTGCATGTACCTTGATGGGTCTCTTGAGCGCTTCCTGAATATCAAGTCTTTTGCGCATGATGGTCTGATCAAGCTTCCTCTCAAACGCCAGCAGGTCCATATATGCCTGAGACTCAGGAACAAGCTCTCGGATCTGAAATAAAGCCACAGACACAATCAAGATCTTTTTGAACCACATCTGTTTTCATCATAATCTGCCACAACTTTAGTTTTTCAGTCTCTGAGCTACACTTCTTTTCGAATAATGCATTCGGCTAATATCATCTATCAAGGTTTTTCTTATTTGCATGGGTTGAAAAAGTGCACAGGAAAAAACAAACTGATTACATTCAAATTGTAGAGCTTTTTAAAAAAAAAAAAAAAAAATCAAGGCTATCTACTTGTACAAATTATGCCACTAGTTAAACATCTTGAAGACACTTCAGACACATTTGAGGAGTTAAAAATAATTTTCATGACCACTTACTCTTTGAGGTAGGATTTTATCTGCCATTTTCTTCTTCTTGGCACTAAAATGAAAAACAGCACCATGAGAGATTCAATTAAGCACTTCAAATGATTTGTTACACACTAGCAAAATCATCAGGTTTGTTTCATCAAGTGAAGCGTTAACTGGGCTTACTGTTGGTTGCGATTCTGTTGCTGGACCTGTTGGATCTGATTTGGCGGCGGTCGCTTGCGGGACGGGTCCATGACTGGCATACCGGGGCGGGACACTGGACTGGCCCCGTAACCTGGGGGTCCCATGGAGGGTCCCTGAGGGGTCATACGATTGGCTGGAGGCATTCCCGGTCTCTGCCAAGATAGGAACGAAGGACGATTAACCGAATGGACAAAAATAAGGAGATCAGCCGTTTTGATTGGCTATCTTGTTCTGGCCTGGCATTTATGAAGCAATATGAGATAGCAATATGGAATGCTAGCATATATCACAGTACAAATCAATATTTAACTAAATAAATGGCAACAATAATAATACATATAATTTTAATATTTACATATAAGGATTTAATGATAGAAAATGAGGTATAAGTTGCTGTAATTTAACACTAATTTTACAAAATTGTGGTTATAAAAAGGGCAACCATTATAACTACCAAAGCATTTCGTTTTTCAGTAATATGATTTTTTTTTAAACAGCACCATTTCTCCAGCTGACGGTTGCCTTCTCGTTGTAAAACTTGTAAAACACTTAAAAGTGCACAAGCTGTGAAAGCTGTCGGGTTCACTTTAGGACCATTTATCAAGTCCAAAAAAATATATATATATATATATATATATATATATATATATATAT